CAATTCACCTTTTCTGACACATGCGTTTGATTCTAGATTAGTAAACTGTCACACGTTTCTTCAGATTGTTGACGCTCGGAATCCGCTTTTGTTCTGGAGCAAAGATCTAGATGCCTACGTGAAGGAAGTTGATCCTGCAAAGAAAGTGCTTCTCTTACTTAACAAGGCGGATCTTTTGGAGGAAGAACAAATAGCTGGATGGGCAAAGTACTTTGCGGAAAATCAAATTAATGCTGCATTTTGGTAGGCTTTGTGATTCTTTGCTTTTTTGTTTTTCCTCAGTTACTTATGTGATTTGTTCAGGACTGCTTTGGAAGTATCCGATCCCGAGGAGGAATGCAACTCGGAGCCATCTACGGCTTCTTCGAGCGGACTTTTGTTTTTGCGCACACGTGATCAGCTCGTGCAATACTTGAAAGAGATGGGGCATGTTATTGACGCTCCGGGTTCTAAACCTGTAGTTACTGGAATGGTCGGCTATCCAAACGTTGGCAAGAGTTCAACAATAAACAGAATTGCTGGTAGCAAGAAGGTTTCGGTGTCGGCTACTCCCGGAAAGACACGCCACTTCCAAACTGTTCATATTGACGAACAGGTGAGCTATCAGTTGAACTGTGAAGCTTTTATAAAGACATAGAATAGTCACAAATGTTCATTCTGACTTTCTGGTTTTTCAACCACTCAGTTCATAGAGGACTGCAGCCTGATATTTTGGCACTATAATCAAGGAATGATCGGTTATTTTCACAGCTACATCTCATATGAATATTCTCTCGAGTTTGTCGGAGAAGTGGAGTAGTCTGTTGTAATAAAGTGTACCAGCGCGAAGGGTGGAGCTGTTTCATCTTGTCATCTGATTCTTAACCGGTTCGACCATTTTGGAATGAAGGAAATGATAGGGGAACAGTTATTGTATATCTGCAGTATCGGCGTCAAAAATCTGGCTTAGCAACACCAATTTAAACAAAAATCTACCGTTGGTTTTACTGTGCCTGGCCCATGAATCCCTGTTCCCTCAGGGCGAACTGTTATACAGAATGTACATCGTTGTCGCTCTCAGTGAAATAAGGAGGAGGTATCCAATAATCATTGATGATGAAATTGTGTTGCAGCTCATTTTGTGCGATTGTCCCGGTCTTGTAATGCCGTCATTCGCGTTCGGACGAAATGAAATGTTTCTTAACGGTAAGTTGTAGTTGTCATTATTGTATTTTATCTGATGTTTTCTATTTAACACGTAATGGGCAACGGAATTTGTGGTTCAACGACTTTATTTTCAGGTATCCTCCCGGTGGATCAAATGCGTGATCATTTTGGACCTATTGCTTTGTTGTTGTCGCGCATACCTGTATCATTCTTTGAGCAAACGTATTCAGTCATGTTACCTGAGAATTCGGAGCCATCTGCATTGAACCTCCTAACTTCAATAGCATTCATGCGAGGGTTCATGTCTGCATCAGGAATCCCCGATTGTTCTCGGGCAGCCCGCTTTGTAATTAAGGATCTTGTTTGTGGTCGCTTGCGTTGGGTGGCTCCGCCACCCGGAATAGATCAGAATGAATTCAACAGTCATCTATTCGTGGGGGAGAAGTCAAGATCGGGGCGAGTTCAGCTCGAACAACTAGAAAAGCGGGGTCTTTTAGAAGGTGACGGTATAGTTGACAAGAAAGTTGACTCCCAGTTTTTTAATGACACTACGGGCGCTATGCATACACGAAGTGCTAAGGGAAATCCCGTTGGTTCTCCAGGTGTTGGGCCTGCGGAGAAAGGCGATAAACGTCATTACAATAAAAATAAGAAAGAAAAACTGCGGAGAATATATGTGTCCACATATTAATTTGTACAGATAAAAGATTTATTTGTAAACGACTGTATTCGTGGTTCATGTGATGTATTAAGCATTCCTATCTTTCCCACAGATAGTCGACTATCGTGTTTTTATTGGAATTCAACAATCTTCAGAGGATCAGCATGGGGAAAATAATGAAGCCGGGCAAGGTTGTCCTTGTCCTACGTGGTAAATATGCCGGTAGGAAAGCACTCGTCGTGAAAGCACAGGATGAAGGAGGAGCTGATAGGTCGTATCCTCATGCCATCATTGCTGGAATCGACAAGTACCCACTGAAGGTAATACCCTTGAATAGTTCTGATGATTTTTAATTAGGTGTCGTGTTTCAGGTCACGAAAAGCATGGGGAAAAAGAAGCAGGAGAAGCGTAACAAATTGAAGCCTTTTGTGAAAGTCGTGTCATATAGCCATCTCCTTCCTACAAGATACTCAGTTGATGTTGCATTCGATAAGGCTAACATCAATAAGGTAGTTTTAGATTTCCAATGTTTGATTACAATTTTTTAATAGCTTAATTTAGGAATCACTGAGGATTCCAAAGAAGAAGAGATGTGCTCTGGCAGAAATTAAGTCAAAGTTTGAGGAGCGATACAAAACTGGAAAGAACAAATGGTTTTTCACCAAATTGCGCTTCTAAATGTTATTTCGTCGTTGTTATAAAGTTGTTTGTTTATGAATTAACACCGTTGCTAGTCATCGGTATTGTTCGTCAGTATTTACACAGGTTGTGACAAAAATGGTTAGAGTTTCGGAAGGTGTTGAATAGATTGGCATAAGCCTGTTGACGCAGGTGCTGGTCAAATCCCGTTAATCCCGAGTCATGCTCTAGTATGGTGTGCCCACACCTTGGGAATTTTTATAAGAAATTTGCGAAGAATTCGCGTTACCTACGGGGAACTGTCCCGTCAATGAGTGAGTGGTGTTGTCTCCTGTGTCTTCATTGAAACGTCCACGGTAATGGTTTCCAAAACTGAGAGAGGGATGAACATAAAATTACCATGGAGAAACTTATTTCATTATTTCTGAGGAAAAAGACATGGTTCCAATCTTTGATTATGGCGTATTTCCCTGGCTAAAGAGTGACGATTTTTGCGGGGTGTCGGAAGGAATGTGCTGCTGTTAAGACCAGTAAATGCTGAAGTGGAAAAGGGACTGTCCCTCTAGCTGTTTCAAATTCGCTTAAACGTGAGGTTAGAGTGGCATAACTAGAGAGGGCGCAGGCAAAGTTATCTTTGCCCGTTGAGTCTCTGGAGTTCACTGTGTTTTGGCTTTTTTTTTATCCTTTAGCCCAGCTACTTCGGCCATCAAGCTGTTGTCGGATTTTGCTTGTGGTTTTCTTAAAATTTGGTTTCTTTTAGTGCGTTTTGCTACAGTAGTTATTAAAAGCGCAAAGACAAACTCGTAAAAATATCTTTCCTTATGGAGTTACATATACTCTACACGTATTTGTTTGTCTCTCCTCATCTTTCGACTATTTTGTTTGGGTTACTAGTTATCCTTACCTTCAAACTCCCTGTTCCGGTGGTACTTCTAAACATAGTTTAAGTTTCAGCCCCTTTCTGTATCGATTTGAGACAAAGTAAAAGGAAAGTCGGTAGAAGCGTTTAGGAAACATCTCCAACGGTTCGCATTGTTCCCTCTGCCGTTGTTGGTTATCTTCAATCCTTTCCAACGAATTCTAACTTCTCACATCTTTTGCAATTGCTTATTGTTTTTTGTCTGTATCCTTGTTATTGTTTCTGCTAAGTTTTCTTTTTGTCTGTATTTGACTTTTTACCCGTATTTGTTTCTGACTGTATGTTCACAATTTCCTTCTATCTGCCTCCTTGTCCNTGTCAGTCCATTTTCTCTCTGTTTCCGCTTTCGATGCGTGTCCCGCCTATTCCTTCTTTCAATTTCCTTTTATTTGGATTCATGTACAACAAGCTGACTCAAAACCATAACGGATGACGCCTACTAAACCAACGAAACCCTCGACCCTCCTGCTGAATGACACTAGGAAGTAATGGGTGTTTTTCAGTAGAACTTTCGCCCTTCCACGGAGCAGCTTTCACTACCCAGATCACCAGGAGTACAACAATTCCATTTCTAGTGGTAGTGTTATAGGATGAGCTTATTTGGTAGTATCAGAGCCACGAGGAAATTGATTCCTGAAGGTTTCTTCAAGAGTTTGTGCTGCGATGACGTAAGTTTACCAGCTTGGCTAGTTCATGCGACGCAGGATTGCAATGCCCATCAACCATCCCCCTCAGATGACGCCGATGTTTTTTTTACAAATAAGGGAAACAATGGCAATGATGGAATGACTTTCTTATGAGTCGCAGCAAAACTATCTGACAGAAAACAAAACAAATTTGCTATTTCAGCTTTTGTCATTTGTTATCACTCCCTTTCGCCCACTTCTTTTGTTCCGTTCCTGTCCCGTGGCACTTACGGGATAGGTTTACTGTCAAGTACGAGTAGTAGATGTAGTGGAGGTGTTCTTTTTCTAGTATCGTCACCCATATTTGCGCCCCAATCCTTGTATCACCAAAAACGCTTCACTGCTGAGACGAAGAGCACAAGAAATTGCTCTATCCTTCTAACATCCTTTACGTGCCCTTGTAGACGTGGCGCTGCTAGCACACGTATGGGGATCAAATCCCTGAATGATACCCGCTCAGGCCAGGATATTGTAAAGAACAAATGCACATCCAAATGGCACACCAAGTGCTTCTTCTGACCCCTGAGAGTGATAGTTTCATTCGAGATCAATCGAAATTACGGATTCAACTTGCGGATCATCCTACGTCATTTTCGAACAACCTCCTAACCTGGACTAGAGTACGCAATTTCCGTAAAAACCACCCAGATAGGCTTAGAATGGCGAAAACTATGCCTACTTCGAGAATTATTTTCTCAAGTTCATGTGACCTCTGTACTATCCACTTCTATCTTAGCGTTTAGGTAATCTTTTTTGGGCAAAGCTCTGAGCAGTTAACGAATAGGCCCCTTACCCGCTAGCCTCTATCCTTCTTGTAACGGCCTTCAGGCTGCTGTGGAGTACTTTATCTACTTCTTTCCCTAATATTCAAGTTCGCCGATCGCTCACCATAACAATTGGTTTTTTCATAAGTTCTATACATTTCTTGCAAAGCTCTAGTTCATATTGACTAGAAATGTTAATTTTTGATTTTAGCGCCGCCCACTTCTGCGCATACGTTATCTCCCGTGTGTATAAACTTCTCTTCCTTTGCCATCAGCCTTTCTATTCATTCCATAACGTTTCTAAGCAGAGCTGTGGGCTTTGTGGCAAGTTTTAAGCACATTCCGCCAATCGGAAGCGAAACTCCTCTTGATTCAGGCCAATCGGCCTGGCGGTAGTGATTCTGTTTTGGTTCTAAGTCGTCCAAGAATCGAGTTACGAATTTTCGTCATAACTGCTTATTTGGCCTCAGCCATGGTGCGCAGTCGCATGAAAAAAGGTTTGAACTCCCAGCGAAGGATACGGTAACCACTGCCGCTTACGGTGGTAATTCGGGCAGAAGTACCACCACCCCGGTCAGACCACTTCAACTGTGCACCGTGGTTAAAATAAACTCAGATCGAGGCAAAATCCAGTTACCTGCATTCGTAAAATTTATAGTTCACGATAAAAATGGTCTGTGAGTTCCCTGTAGTATGGATTCGAGGCTCCCCCTTATACCATACCTGTCGTTACAGGGTCGAAAAAGGTTTCGAATAAGGTACAGTAAGGGGTCAGAGTTTGTATCGTGTGAATGCCACATCCATGGTGGGCGAGTTTCAACGGCTTTGTAGAGGCTGCACTTTCTCAGGGGACGGCCATGCAGGAGGTTCAAACAACTTGTCATAACCATGGCAACAATAAAAGGAGTTTTGGACAATTTCGGGTTGATGTAGACAGCTCTTTGCGAATGGGAGCAAGTTGAATCTCGCCCTTACATGCCATTCTCGTCACGGTGATCTCGTACAAACTCCACTTCCACTAGTTTTATAAAAACTCGAAGTAGACGGATTTCCACACTTTCTTCGCCACCGATGTACTTCTCTACATCAACACACCCGCTTTTCAACCTAAAAAGGGTAACTCAAAATTACCGTGAACTGTGCCTTTAAGGCCTTTGCGAATCACTTGAAGCACTGTACTCTTTGAAACCTGGAGTCCTTTCGAAGCTCACCCTCGGTTTTCATAGTGACTTCGAGAATACGGTTTGAACTGCCTGTACGTCCTCTTCCGAACGAGTTCGTCTGCCGCTATTCGTCGGTTCCTGGACCGATTCCCGTTGCTGAAAAAGCGTCCATCTGTGTTTTTGTTAACTTGAGATCATATCACAACCTTCACTGTGCAGTAGTGCTCCTTTTGCCAGAGCTTCAGTGAGGAAGGGGTGGCGGTGCAAAAGTCAGCCTTCGTCAAGAAAGCTCTCCACAGAAGAGTCCTGGCCTATTCTCGACGTGCCGAGGGATTCAGTCAGTAACCGCCTTGCTCAACGGTATAACAGAAACGCTCATGGCCGGCTCATTGTTCGTTGATTCCCTGGCGTAAGCTGCGGCGTCCCTGATTTTCATTGAAGGAACTCGGTGCTCCGGATTCCTCTCACTCACGTTCATCGAGAACTACCGATCCTTCCAACATTGCCCTGATTGACGGTGGCTGCCTGCTCATTCTGCTTGCCTCCTGATGCGTAGAGTCCAGGTCTCTGAGGCGTAAGCCAGGGTAGGAAGGTGCGCAGTGCTGCAGAGATTGGCGCAGATCCGGATGCTTTTTGTCTTCTTTACTCTATCCTCGACGTTCTTTGATGCTCTGCAAGTCACACGTTTCCATCTGTTCATAATCTAGGGCTTCTCGACTCAGGTATACGTAGCTAGAACAATCGGAGATGTTCTTACGGAAGAGCATAAAGTCAAACTAGTCCGTTCCTCATGAACAGCGTCTTCGTTAGGTTCAGTCGTGAGCCGATTTTTTCCCACAAGCGTTATCAAACTTGGCCAGCATTCATTCCTCCTGCTCGATGTTCAGCGTTGTAAACGAGGTGTCGTCTGCAAAATGGAGATGATCTAAATGTGTGTTGTCCAGCTTTACTTTCACGTCTTCCCATTCCAGAGACACATTGTCCCTCTAAAGCGGCCTGAAAAGCTTTGGGGGAGATTGTATCGCCCTGTCGAACCCTCCGCTTCATGTTAACGATGACTCTCTCGTTGAGTGTTGAGATCCTGGTCATATGCTAGAAGGCTCACGAAGTTTTTTTTTTGTTGCGTTGGAACACCCTGGTGACCCATGGTTTGAATTACGGCTTTTGCCTGTACATTGTCTAAAGCTTTCTTTTAACTGATGTGAGTAACGGTATGGCACAATGGACGCCACGTTCCCTTCGCCAGTTTCATGAAGTCATGTTGCTTGGCCTCTTGACCATGCAAGAGTTCTTTGCCTCTGTTTTTGCTCAATAATGTAGAGTAGAGCCTGTAATCGCGTACCCAGTATCACAACTGAACCTTATGGGGGACGAAACATTCGAGCGTCAGGAGATGGCACGGTAAACTGCGCCGCGAAATTCGCGGCCATTTGAACGGCTTTATCGCCTATCATAGGGGCCCAACTTTGAAGAGGGCAGATTAGCAGGACCAGCTCATCCAATTAAACTTCCTTTCTTCTGTAGCCCAATGGTTTGCGCCAAAGTCGTCAAAATCCCCATGAGTTTCGCCGCCCAATTTGCCGCACGCATCCCAGGCCGCACGAATGTACCCGTCCCATACCCAGACTATATTGAGATACCTACTAGCTTCTTATTCTGTTGGGACCATTTCTCTCGGATATTCATTTAACATACCGGTTTGGCCGAGAGGGCATCCTCCTGGACAGAACCAGGAGATGCTACGTCAGCTCATCGAGGATGCTCAATCGCTGTACGTCTTACAGTAGCGGAATGATGTAATCACCTTGATAACAGCGGTTCGAAATGGTTTCGCAGAATTGATTGATACCTTGGTGGTGTCAGGGGTGAGTTTCCCGCAGCAGCTTTCTTATCACTATCATCGATTTGCGAAAGAACAGACATACAGACAGACAGGCCGATAAACAGAAAAACTGGCACTAAATAGACACTACTCAAATGTGATATGGGGATCATGATGGTACCCTTTACTGCACCAGAAGGAGTTCCTCTCAGCTCAATCGCAGAGACTTTAAAAAGTGTTGTCATTGTACCAACAAGTTGGGGACCTTGGTAGGAGGACGATCCACTTACCATTGCAGGTATGATGAGGGAAACTGTAAGAAGAGTGACCTGCTAAAAATTAAAAAAAAAATAGCAGGAGGGGAGCAGCAATAAATCATCCCTGATGTGGTCATGGCTACTCCTTTGCTATCACTATGTTAGCCTTTCGCATCAATACGGGGGACAAGCGTCGCATCCGAGGTACAATACATAAGGATACTCGTGAATTTATCGCGTGTTGATAGTTTCCCAGGTTTGAAAAAGAAACGGACTCGTTTATGCCATATTTATGAAGGCTCTTTCATTGTGTTTTCGTTATCTTGTAGATTTCTGAGCAGACTTTTTTTGGAAAAAAAAAGATAGCGAAAATGCAGAAAATTAGAAAACCACACGCACAAAGGTCTGTGACATGTGGTAATGGAAGAAACAATCTACAAACTCTTCTTTTTGTCTGTTCTCACTTTGTGAATAGAATAGAGGAGCTGTGGCAAAGGACTTCTAAAATAGTTTACGCTTTATATACAACAGCAAGCATGACCTTCGAGATTCCTCCTCCATTTCCTCAATAGCTAGGAGCCCTCTGAACGCCTACAAAAGCCTGTAGAGCCCTCTCCTAGTTGTAGAGAAAATGAAGACGATCATCCGTTTTTCTTCAAGTTCGACTGATTTCACACAGGATTCCCTTGATATCAACTAATATGTCGCTTCTGATACAGCCTCCAAAGGTGATCTTCACAATCTAGAGTTTGATGGGAAGTTAGGAAGCAGAATTCGTGTAAGTATGCATCAGTTGAATAAAAGAAATGACGGATTTTACACAAATTTATAATAATTATGCTTGTTAAGTAACGTATTCTGGAAATCTGTTAACTCCCGAACGATTTAGAAAGAATGTATGTTTTGTGTAAAATTCCTACCCGACATTAGGTATAGTACCGGTCCTTTACATTGCCATCAGCGTCACTAAACTCCGCTAGTCTCATGTTGAAATCTGTTACGATATACTGGTACTGTGCAAGATCAAATTAGCTGCTTACCATCGGATCTCATACCCTTCAGTACTTTCATTTAACTCTAACCGGTTAGAAACCTAGTAGGATTGAGAGACGGGTTTTGGTATCGGTCGGAATCAGTGACCACACCGCAATTCAGTCTTTTCCACGGGCTCAATCCAACTATCTTCAAAGGAAAAGATCAAAAATAAGTCTGATTTGCTGTCGGTCGATGTGTGCTCTTTAGTAATCCAAGGAAATTGGATCAGAATAAGAGCATCTTCCTGGCTATAGTCGAATAGGAATGAGTGAACGGGAACAACTTGAATGAGGATAAAAGACAACTTCCACTAAAAATTGCTACTGCATAGCGTTTGAAAGATACTTGTGTGTCTAAATATTTAACCAAGGCTCTTATCAACTTTCACCGATACATCTGCATCAAACTCAAGATGATTTACTGGGAAGAATCCAAAGTTAGTTGGGAAATCCTGGCCTGCGGGCCAATGTCTTACCTATAGTTTGGGTTAAGTGTTAGAGGCTCGAGGCATTCTCGCAACTTCAGCATCTGCTTTTCATGCTTTCCAACACATTTTACTTTTTTCTTCTGATACTATTAACATCGACCAACTGTACAACTGAACAAAATCGTGAATGGTGAGCCCTATCACCTTCTCCTGCTCATTTCCAGTCGGAAATCTATTGCATTTGTTTGTTTCTTTTTATTCCCAACACCTGTTTGAATATATTTTGTAATAATGGTCATATATTTTTCAAAAGTTCAAATGTTTTCCGAAATGAATCAACATTACCTTCTAGAGGGTATTATTCAACACATTTTATTATTCCTGCAATCCCCTTCCCACTCAAATTATCCAAAACTCCTGTGTTTTCCCAGCGTTAGAGGGATCAGGATCACGTTCAAATCATCGAAAATAATCAGGCGAAGTTTTAAAACCATCGGTCAAATAAGACTGGATAGAGCAGGAAAAGAAAACTACCTGAGTCATGTAAAACCAAACTGCCTGAGTAAACGCAAAACCATAACTTTCCGAAAAATTCTGACCCCAAATATCAAACTTATCAACTGTCCGCAGTGCTATACTCACATTCCGATTGTTCTCGTCAAAAACCTAGCCAACAGCACATATTTCTTTCAAATAATCATCAATGGATTATTTCAGACCCACGACTGAGCAACGACGTCGCCGATGTGAGCTGGTCCCGCAGTGGCTCGACATACGGTAGAAGAGGTGTGTGCAGAGGACGCGAGTGAGCGTGCGGCTGCGTTGCGGTCGCCGTGGTTCGGTCGTCTGCGGATCACCTTTTGGTGGACGAGAGCGCGCGCCGTTTCTGTCTCGTCTAGTCCTCCTCCCATTCTGCTACGTGTCGTTGTTGCGGGTGATGTCCGTGACCTGATGTCACTGATTAATTCGTGATAGAATCCAGCAGACTTGTGAGAATAGAGCAGAAGACGACAGAGTGGTTGTGAGTCGGATTCTGAAGCGCGTCTCACGATGGCCTGCTGTCTGTCGGAGGAGGCGCGCGAGCAGAAGCGCATCAACCAGGAGATCGAGAAACAGCTCCAGCGCGATAAGCGCAATGCACGACGAGAGCTCAAGCTTCTCTTATTAGGTTTGTTTTTCCAAATGTACTTTTTCTTTAATTCTCTTTTTTTATCGAGCTTTTTTCGCTTTTTCATGAGGTGCTTATGTGCTTCATTTGCAAACGTTCGTGCCGCTCTACTTTACATATCCGATAACTGAAATCATCTCAAAGAATCTGTCTTTCTTGTCATTCTTCATGTTCATGTTGTCGGCACTATTTTCTTTGATTTTACTTCTCGCAATTCCTAGCGGACTCACAACATTTTACCACTGTGCCGTTAATTGGTCGTATGGGGACTGTCGGACTGTTTGTATGCTTTTTTTCCGAATCGATATCATCGATTTGCGTTTTTGAACCCTAGCTAAGTTTTGGGCGACATTCCATTAGGAAGTACTTGATTGTGGTATTGATGTGTTGTTGTTCAATGTTGTTGTTGCTATATGTGTTGTGCGTGATTCGAGTGGTTACGTGGCGAGTGTGGGGGGTGGGGGTAGAGTATTGGAGTGGGTTGCCCTCGGGGCGATCGATCGACGCCGCCATGGCGCTCTCTTACAGCAGCAGCAGCAGCAGCATCGGCGGCGACGGCGGCCGTCAGGGACTCAGCGGCGCTGCGGCGGCCGACGATGGGGGCGAGAGTGCAGACGGCGCGATCGCCGCCACTGCACCAGCTTCTTGTCGGCCGTGCAACCTAATCATCGGTCGGGGGCTAGCTGCTGGCCGGGGCCACGTCCAACCGACTTTTCTGATCCCCGGCTAGCGCGTTCAAGATCAGCTTTTTCGGACTGAGAAATGAGTGACAAAGCGTTCATCGTCGTTGAAGGACCAAGCAGTCAAAAGTGATGCAAAATTCCAGGGAAGGAAAATGGATCAAAATACGGGTAAAAAGAAAGGAGAAGATGTTGATGGACGACTGGCACATTGTTAAGCAGAATGTGTCGTTGCAAATCTTGTCTTGGATGGCTACTGATTAGTTTTTGAGATGCTTTGAAGTAAAAGTTTGAAAGACAACGTAACTCGGGTTTTATTGATTGGTAGAAGAAAAGTTCCCGGCAGAATTAAAGAGTAGTAGTTTTCATTTAAAAGCATATGCATATAAATCGACTATTGATTAAAGTAAGGTCCCGTGCAGATTTGAAGCCTCGTTTTTTGAGGATGAACTGAGACTTCTTGAGGGTGTAGACAAGGACTGGAAAACATCATTGTGAGACCAAAAACAGCCAACGAATTACAAGCAGACTATTATGTTTGAGTGGCTTGTAAACACATAATGATAGCTGTGACTGGGTAGATGCAATAGGGCTCCTCGGAACCAACATAAGGTAGAGCGTATTTATTGTGAGAGACTGTCGTTTTTGGTTGTAACTAGCGAAGTAGGGAAACTCATATCGTTAAGGTTTTCTATTGCTAGAATTCTGGCAGTATCCTGGAATACTTGCTTTATACATAGCATTGTGGAGCCATGAACACTGATGGCCTACTTTCGTCTTCAAATCTAGATGGATGACAGTGTTTGATCGTACTGATAGGAAACGGGACAATGAAGCCGTAGATCCCAATGCATCTGCTTGGTCATTTTTTTGGTACAGTCTGTTTCTGATCTGCAGAATTGATTCTTTGTTCCGTTCCTTTGGTATATATTGAACAAAGTTTCCGTCGCGAACGTGACTGTTTAGATGTACTCGCGTTAAAATTTCGTGTATACTTTGCTTGTGACTAAAGGAATTCGGATAATCGGGTTAGAAGGGATTCCCGGAGCTCCCAGGCTACATGGGATTCCAACTTAGTCCCAAAATATACTGGTATTCGAGCTCTTGAAGGCGAAATCGTGCTTGGCTCAGACTGTTGCGCTCCACGAATCTTTCATAGCGCTTCTCATTTTAGGTACAACCGGCTGTTCCGCGCTCTAAACACACTTTTATGGCCATTGAGCAGTCAAACGGTTGAGATTTCCCACTTAGCCACGATTTCCGCATTTACTGTGGCAAAGGGTGGTGTGGCATACCAGTAAAGAATAAGGCAACTGTTTTTTCTATGATAATTTTTTCAGTTTTCTTTCAAAAAACCCTTGGGGAGGGTGAGTTAGTGTGATTAATCGGCGCGCTGCAGGGAGGGTACCCTCGCTTGGGCTTTGTATCGAACGATCGGATGGATATTCGTGCTGACGAGGTCGAGCCAGGCTTGGGACGAAATTCTGGTCAGATAAGGCTCCGAAACAATACCGAGTGAAGGGAGCGGTTATGGATAAGTAGTGTCTTCTTTCTCCAAAAATCGTGTTTTCGCTGCTACTGCTGTGGGTAAATCATTTGATTTCGGATTTTTAGAGGTTTTCCATTTCTTGTCCGTGGGAAATCAGCTTTTATTGAAGTCTTATGGGTTGTAGCCTAAGGGATGAAGAATTTCGGCTTCGATCAATCCGGTTTTGGGGATACGCCCCGTATTCCATTCATACGAACTCTTAATGACGTTTGATTGCGTATGTGGCCTATACAATGACTTGCGATTGAGAGCTGATGTAGAACCCAGTCAGTCACATGGAATGTCGTACTTGAAAGTATGTCGTACTCGAAATTCTTTTGCTTTGCTCTACTTATTCTTTTTCCTTTCATTCTCAGGTGGTAAAGGCTCTTTAGGAACTGTCAATTTCCCTGCTACTATTGCGTCAGCTAGCTGCTATACGGGCGCTCTCACTGAGGGACGCTGTGCGTATTGATTTTTTATTTGGCTTGTGGTCCTTCTCTCATGTTCGTCTCTGGGCGTGGCTTGGATTTGCAGTCCACAGGTACCAGGGAGAGTAGATGATTAGAGTGTCGTATAGGAAAGAAAGATGGGATGCAATCGTGTTTGATGATTCTTCCGCCGCTAGTCGCATATCGAGAGTGGTGATCTGGCTCGTTGTTCGAGAGAACGGAATTAATATGCAGCGATGTACCACCGATCGATAGCACAGAGCTGACTCTCGTAATGCTGGGCAAATTTTCGTTCATGGAATAAAAGACGAAATTCGGGAGTGTCTCAGTGGGTTTCAGAACTTATTCAGTGATCCTTCCACAACAACGACTCTAGTGGCAAGTGGCGATTACATATATATAGTCACATTCCAGTTAAAATGGGTACTCTCAACTACAGCGCTTGAACTCGTGATATTCTGATTGGGAAATTCCAGAATGGCATGGTAAATGCGGTGTTGCTCCCATACTTCCCCGGAAGGGTCCAGTGCATGCAGTGATACTGTGAAATAAAATTCATTATCCTTCTCGGGCATTTCGCACTTCAACCATTCGCATCTGATCAGTATTTGAGTATCATATGAGCGAGTTATACAAAGAGCATTCGGGCATAGTCCGCCAGTCCAGTGAGACAACCATATCTCAAAATCTTGCAACGCTGCCATTGTATTTCTAGGAAACTGCGCTTTAAGTATCATGTGCGTTTGGCAATTACGAAATCAAGGAAGTTTTTCTAAAATAGCTATCTTCTCTGTATGATTTTTGGTTTAGCTTTCTCACCCATCATGTGAGTGGTGAAATTTAGTGCACGTCATTTGCAGAATTCTCTTTTCTCACATTCCGGCTTCAATTTGGAAGTCGTAAACTGGAAGGGTCCCGTGCTCTCTTTTTTGTTGATGTCAGGCTGCATTTGTTTCGTTGATGGGCATGGTAGCCGCGCGTTCCGAACGTTGACAGGCCAGCTAGGTCGATGTGCCACCCACTAATGACTAGGGCCTCGTGCGCCACTAATGATTATCCGTGAAACGGCTTTTGGTAGCCGAAGTCGTCGAAACTATTACTGAATGTCAATCTGGAGCAATTCTCAGTTACGAAGTTTCTGGAGAAGCAAGAAGTTGTGAAAAAAAGACGCTTTTTAGGCGACCATGTTTAGGTTGGATGTCATTTGTTTGAACGGTCGCATCGTTGGTCAGAGTTTTCCTCAAGACTATGTCAGTAGTGTTCATTCGGTAGTGGCCATATTTTTGCACTAGGTTTAATCCGTTGTTTAAAAGCAGCACGACATTTCGGGTTTTTTTCGTTAGCGTCAGTATCTTATAAGAAAGTCAAGAATAAGAGAAGTTGGGCAAGGGTTTTGGGAGTGGCCATAGCTGATTTGCTATCGAAGTTTGATTAACTTTTGTGTTAGTTGTTCATATATACTTCAACTCAGTACTGGTCCTGGTCTTTTTTCCGTCCTCAATAATATCCATAGATTACAAGCGATATGTAGTGAGCAGTGGGCATTACGGGTATTGTTGTTGATTGCTCACCCAGTTCGTAGGAAGGGCATTCGTTGATGTTTCGATTCCACAGTTTTTTCTAGGATCTAAAAAACACCTGCAGTCCCTTTTGAAGAGCCACCCGCATCTATTTAGAGATATGTAATAAGCAAATATTTGCTAGTGCATAACCTCTATAGTTTTGTTGAAGTGCCTAAATGGATGTTGTGAGTGCTCTACTTGCTTTTTCAGCACAACTTTTTCATTTTGTTTGAAGATTTTGTTTCCATTCTTTCATAAGTGTTTGTGTTATGTTCTGTGTGTTGAATAGATTAGCCTTACAAGCTGTTGGATGATTCTTCTGTCTGGTCTTCTGGCCGAGCCACTGGTGGTGTCGTTGACGCTCGAGCTGGCTGGTCTGACAGGCTGCGATCTGGTTGCAAGGCGCGGCGCAGTAATCGATTCGCACACCAAGCACGATGCCAATACCCACTCCCTTCTCACTTTCTCTCCCGTAGCTTCTGAACTGTTGCTCTCCCAACGCACCTGTCATGAAAGTTGACTGAAATGGGAACAAAATGCAGTATACGATGAATAGAAATGAAGGAATCAGTGAAATAATAA